GTAAGGGAGCTGAGGGATATTTTCCCGTTTTTTTTTTCTTTCTCTTTTTTAAACTTACAATTTAATAATATTATTCTTTTTTCTTAAAAAAAGACAAAAGTAGGAGGTACCAGGAGCCAGGGGTTGCAAAGGGGCCCCAGGCAGACTCACGCAGAGTGGAGGGAAACACAGGGGCTGCAGGCAGGGAACAAGGGCACCGGCTGCTCCAGCAGAGCTGCGGGTCCTCCGTGCCCCCCCAGCCCCCACCACGCACTTCCTATATACAAGAGTCCCCCCATGGCTGTGCTGCACTCTCGCTCTGGGGAGCGAGGGGAAGGGGAAGGTGCAGGAGAGTGGGAAAATGCAACGGGGCTCTATCCTCAACACCATCCCAGCACTGCAGAATCTGACCCCGGCAGGAGGAAACTCCGTGGCAGAGCCCGAGGCACAGGGAAGGCTTTCCATCACTGCCCCTCCCAACCAGCCCCACTGCAAGTGGCTGCTCAGCAAACACCAGCCATAGGGCCCAGGGAGGAGGAGGGTCTCTGCACTGTGCCAGGCCCCAACACATGGCATCTGGTAACGCCAGCCGCTGCCAACACCTCCCCACTAATTCCCCCTCGCTCGGCAGGGAGGGGTTGGGCATGTTGGGACAGGGATGAGAAGCTCTCTGGGCAAGAAGCAGAAAAGAAGAGCGAAGGGGGAATAATGAAGCTACAGCCCCGGAAACCCACCCCTGCCCTGGGGTCCGTCAGGGAGGCAGGCGTGGGGGTGCGGGGAGGCGGCGGGGGTGACGGCTGGGGTGCGCACCCCGGGCCGTGCACCCCATCATTCACGTGGCGCTGATCCGCCCCCGGTACCTCGCCGCTTCCCAGTCACTCTCCGTTGCAAATGTACAGGTAGATTGGTTGGGACTGAGTCCACGGGGCGGCGGGGGGCCGTTACTGCGACGCCTGCGACGTGGGGTTCTCTGACTTGCTCTCCTGGCTGGAGGGCGGTTTGCTGTTCCAGGGGCTGTTGGCCCCCAGCGCCGGCGAGTTGTTGAAGCTGTCCTCATCGTCGATGCCGTTGGCGGCGTCAAACTGCGTGTTCTCCAGCCGGGTGATGAGGCGCTCGTCCTCGTCCCCAAACTCCCCCCCCATCAGCGTGGGCTCGCCTACCACCATCACATCCTGAAAGGGGAGACGGTCCCGAAACATAATCGAGGTGGGGGGAGCCTGGGCCGCTAGACCCCCCTCTCATCAGCACAGCCCCTTTCCCCAGCTGTAGGGCCACTTCCTCATCTCCGCTGCAGAACCTGAGTTTGGGCACTGAGTGGGGCAAACACATCCTCACTCCCTTGAAGGAGAGCAAAGGGACTCAGGGAAGGCAGCTGGGACACGCCCTCCTTCTTTTCCCCATGGCATGGGCAGAACTGGGGTGGCTCAGATAGGTAGTCCCTGGGGGATTCCCCCTAGCAGCTCCCAGGGGCAGAGAACCCTCCCCTCCATCCCAGAGCAGGAAGAGAGAATGGAAACGGGATGCTTACAGGTACCTGACTGGACAGGGCAAAGGTGCTGGCTGGGCTCTTCTTCTTGCTGTTGCTGTTGTTGGTGTTTCCCCCACCAGAGCTCATGGTGCTGCCCCCGGACATCTTCCTTTTCCGGCGCTTGCTGGGCTGCTGCCGCGCTGGCTCGGCTGGTGAAGGATGGAGACATACATGGTCAGTCCCAACAAGAGGAAGCCGGTGCCCCTCCAGGCCCTTTGATGCAAACCCTACTTCTTCAAGGAACACATTCCCCCTCCAGGCTGTATCACCACCCTCCTCACCTCCACAGCTTTGCTGTCTCCCAGACCAGAGGACAGGTGAGGGGGCAGGAACATTTCCATCCCTGATTTGCTTTCTGCAAGCAGCTGGCAGCCTCGAGGCAGGGAGCACTGGCTGCCCGCAGCCCTGCTCTGCTCCACTGGGAAGGCAGACCAGCATAGAAAGAAGCCAAATGCCTGGTTCACAACCCCCAGCCTTATAAAACAAAGCCAAGAACAGCTCTGGGGCTGGGAGAAGCCTGCACCAAGGGCAGGGCCTGAGCAGGCAGTCCCAGAGACCCCAGGCAGCACAGCAGGCAGTGTGAGACTCACCGGGCGGAGCGACCATCCGCTGCCACTTCTGGAAGAGGCAAGTCTTGAGGCAGTCTCGGGGACTGAGGCTGTAGGTCTTGTGCCGTGACATGAGCTCCTGCATTGGTTCTAGGATTACACAGAGCTGCAAGAACAAACCCTGGGTTAGACTGCAATGCTCTGAGAGCCAGCAAAATGGAGACCCCATAACCCTAACACCTCTACAGGCAGGCATCTGTGCTGCAACTACCCAAGCCATGCTGTAAATTTACGGGATTTGGCAGACCCACTGCCCCATAGCTCTCTACACACCCCCCCCTAAGATCCCTTTCACAAAGCCAGCCTTGCAGCCTACCCACACTCCCAGCTAGCCAGGCATCAGGCAGCTGAGAGCACAAGACATGGCAGAGCTGCAACCCTCCTCTTCTCACTCTACACTTACTCGGAGGTAGTTGAGTGTGGAGTTTGAGAGCCCACAGCGTGTGATGTTCTTGGATAACTGGTCCAGCATCTGGGGATCCTGTGCCTAGGAGCGAGAGGGACAGAAAGCTCAGCTGCATCCAGGCTGGGAACAGCCCTCCCATGCCCTGGCCTGTGATGCATGACTGGGTTGAGGTCCCCCACCTGCACAGCACCCTGCAGAGCTCAGCAGCCCTGTGTTGTTCATGCCCAGGGGAGCTCCTGGAGCTGTACTCACATGCATGGCAAGGATGCTGCGGGGAATAAGTTCTCGATGCTGGCGGATGCTGAAATGCCACGTCTTTATCCTCATCATGTCATCAAACATGAACTCCAGGTAGAGCCGCCCCTCCACACACACCTGAGTGGGAAGAGCACAGAGTCAGGCACAGGCTGCTCCAGCTCTCCCCAGCCCAGTTCCCCTGGGAACCCACTGCTGCACACTGGAACACACTCACAGTGGCTTGCCTCTGCCTCTCACAAATCTCAGCAGAAGCCATAACCACGAGCCCAAAATGCACAGCCCCGTGGGACTGTAGCCAGCAAGAGGGCACAAAAAACCAAGGCAGGAGGGGCAGCAGAAGCTGCAGGTGCAGGCAGTACCTGGGTGAACATGGGCTTGCCGTGCTGGGTGACCATGGTGCACTGGTCACAGTCCAGCGAGACAAAGTTGTTGTGGAAGGATTCCTTGGGGTGCTTGAGCACGTAGTACAGCTCTGTGGCTCCCCCTTCAAAGATGCTGCGAAAGTAACGAGGAATCAGAGTCCGGCCAATCGCTGCAGCAGGAGAAAGAGGAAAACAAGGTCAGTAAACCCAGCTCATCCAGATGTTCCTTGGAATGTACATGATGACGGTCCCCCCATACCTTCTGGATGGAAACAGCTGAGCTCTGACACCCTACCCACATCCCCCATAGCACACAACTGTCTCCTGCTGAAGGGCAATGCCCTTAGGAAGGAGGGCTCAAGCTGGTACTCACTGTATCTCTTTGGTCCATCCTCCAAGCAGAAAGTGATTGTTAACATGGCATCATCCTCAAAGAACTCTGTAGTGAAGGCATCCCACCACAGATTGTCACATTCCTGGGAATGGCAGAAAGATGCTGTTATGGCGAGGAGAGAGAGACAGACAGACACTGGCTGCCAGGCACAGCAGCCATGTGCTCAACCAACAGAAGACTGCGCTCGGAGATGGGGGTGATAAGCCCTGTCCCACAGCCACATGTGGGAGAAGGTGGTGAGGGCCCCCACTGCCAAAATATGGCCCTGGCCAACCCTCACCCTCCTAGGTGCCTACCTCTGTCCAGTTCTGCAGCCGCTTGTTGAGTTCAAATATCCTGTAGTCGGTCTGGTTCCCGTACGGCGTGTGCCTCCTGCCCAGAGAGCACAGCAAGCCATCAGAGGGGAAGGCAGCCACAGGGTGTGGAGGGGTCCTGAGCCCACAGGGGGAACACATACAGCCACTCCAGGGCTGGCAGAGTCTGAGCAATCCTCCCAAAAGCCCCAGCCAGCCAGCATGCTGGCCCTGATGTGGCGCCCCCACCACAGGCACCAGCTCCCCCCAGGCAGGGTTCACACCAGCCCCCCATGCTTACCCAATTCCAGGCTCCAGGTACGTCGGTGGGTACATAGGAGTAGGTCTAGCAGTGAAAAGAAATGCAGGCACGTCAGTGCTAGCAGGGATGTCCCTGCTCACCACAGCTCCTACTTCCCTGGCTACAGCAGGCAGTCAGGCTCACTGCAGCTGAGTGACTCCCCACAGTGCAGACTGTACTCTGGCTGCCAATATTTGATAGCCTCATGGGGCAAGCTGTAGCCCGAAACTGGGCTCTGATCCCACATCATTGGCTCCTCCACTCCTGAGACCTAGCCAACTGCTCCTTGGGGACATACCCAGCTCCTCTGCAGCAGTGACTGGTGCCAGGCAGCAAAGGCACTGAAGAAGGGGCTGTTTTGGCAGGAGCTGGGAGGGCTCCTTGTCATCCCAGGGGCTTGGTCAAGCAAAGGCCTGACAGAGGTCAGGACCTGGAGGCTTCCTTCATTCCAAATATCACTTATTCTCAACCCACTAACACTGTGCCTGCTCCAATTCCCTCTTTGCTCTTGCGCTAACTGACTCCATGCACTGCAGCCTCTGTTTGCTTCTGGGAAGCATAACACAGAGACCCTGGGGTGCAAACTGCAGAGTGTCCGTGACATTGCAGAGCCCCAGCTCACCCCACATCTCGATCCAGCATGGTGCCTGGGTGGAAGGGAGGGAAGGCGTTGCCGTTCGGGGGCTCCTTTGGCGAGTACAGCTTGAACGACTTAGAGGAACAGCCTGGAGAGAGAGAGGGGACATGGGTCAGTCGGGGGCACCCTGTGAGGAGAGATCTGCTGCTGCTGCTGCTGCAAGGAGGAGGAGGAAGAGGAGGAAAAGGAGGAAGAGGAGGAGGAGGAGGAGGAGGAGGAGGAGGAGGAGGAGGAGGAGACATAAGGATGCACCAGTAAAACCTCCATCAGCACAGCCCCATCCCTCCTCTTCTTCCCCCCTGATGTCAGCCTACTTGCTTCATCCCACATACAGGTCCAGGCCTCCCCTGTGCAGGATGGAACTCACAGGGTCAAGGCTGAACTCTCAGGATCAGCAGCCAGAGGGGCCCAACCGCATCCCAAGGGTTTCTCACTGGTACCCAAAGTTTGTCAGTTCTCAGCTAGCTGGGCTCTGAGGATGTGCCCGAGGGGGACAGTCCAGCTGGTGAGCCTGAAGAGGAGCTGGCTGGGCCCTAGCCCTCCCTCCCACACTGCTCCTAATCCCACTGACCAACCCCGGAATCACACAGGATCTTTTTGCTGACCTTTCTATCGTCATGGTGACGGGTGAATAATTGCCCAGAGGGATGGATGGCGGGTCCCCAGGCAGCCACCATCTGCCACTCAGGCAGGCCAGTGGCCACCCGGATCCAGGCGGACAGAGAGATCCCACACACCAGCCCCCAGCTGTGATCAAACCACCCCAAAGCCTCACTGCCCACCACAGCACCAGGGCAAAGGACAAAGAGCCCATAGATGGGTATGGGGTGTGATGCGGTCTGCAACGGAGCACATACTGTGTGAAACCAGCACACATCCTGAAAACAACCTGGGGCCCCAGAATAGAAGACATAAGGTTTGCCAGGCAGAGCCAGCAGCAAGGGGCTCGCACGCTCACCAGCCCACTCCCACCACAAGGGCAGGTTCCCGGAGCAGCGGCTGCTGGCAGGACCCGGCACGCTGCGCCAGGATGCTGCTGAGGCACGCGGCTCCCTCCCGGCGGGCAGGCGGGCGGGCAGACGGGCTGACCTGGATGGGCGCAGCAGCGGGCGAGCTGCCAGGCAGCTCCGGCTCCACCGGCTCAGCCGGCCCCGCCGCGCACAGACACGTCTGCCCGTCCCGCCGCAGGCGGGGCCCGGAGCCGGCCGGGGCCAAGGCGGGGTCCCCATCGGCTGCACACAGCCCCGGGACCCCGGGACGGGCACTTCCCAACGCCCACCAACTGCCAGGATTGGTGCTGCAGAAAGCAAACCCAGCAGGGGAAGGAAGCGTCCCAGAGGCGCCAGACACACCACTGCACCCCTAGGTTCCACTCCACGGCCACGCTGTGCAGAAGGGCGCCGGGCAGGATTGGAGCAGCAGCTCGACCACGATGGATACAAGAGGGGGGTAAGAAACATCAGAGTCAAGAAAAGCAGTGCCATCAGCTCAGGGACCCAAGATGTCCAGCTTGTTGCAACAAAGAGCTCGTTAGCCAATAGAGGTGAATAACCAAGGCATCACCTTCACCCCTGCCAAGCCATCTGGGACCCCAAGTCAGCAGTCACAGGGATTGCACACACTGCTGAGCAAGGGCTGGTCAAAAATAGAAGGGGTCACCTCCCAAGCATTAAATCCAACTTGCAACGGGGGAAACAAGTGTTTTATTTTTTGATTTTCTGGGGGCCTTTTCACCACGTTTCCCCACAGCAGCTGAACCCAGCTCCTCTCCAGCACTCTGCAGGATCTCCAGTCCTGTGGGGCTGGAGCCAGCCCAGCCACTCAGCTGTGGCTCACCGTTCCCACTCCTGCCTGCCTGCGGTGAGGATAAGTGGGACATGGCACAATTTCTCATATGGCTGCTAACAATGTCAGCCCCTTGCTCTTACTGAATGTTTTCATAGATAAAACAAGTTTTGATAGGGAGTTCGGTGCTAGTCAGTTGCTGCTGCAGAGGGGTTTTTGCTTTCTGCTTTATCCACATCAACTTGTGCCTAACAGACAATAATTCAGTCCAAACTGTACTAGAAACACAACATTTCTATTTCCTCCATTCTGTTGTTATACAACATGACACTGAACCATGTTCAGCACATAGGAAACTTCCGAAAACTCCCAAACTTCTGTTGAAAACAAACAATTTCATTAGGCAGAGACAGAAGTGGCTGAAGCACTGCTGGTCATCATGTCCTGAGGGGCAGAAAAAAATCAGACCCAGCAGGTCTCATCCTTCAATTCTGTTTTTATTCACTGATGAGACATAGGAAGACTAAATTCCCAAGGCTTCTTGTTGTCCTCAGTCCCCATCTTGTTTTTCAGGATGCAGGAAGGTCTCCTGGGGTGGTGAGACCAGGGAGACATATCACTCTCCATCCATTGTGCTTCTCATGCTCTTCCCTAGCTCCCTGCTGCTGGAGGTGGGACAGCAGATGAGCCAGGCCATCACTTCTACCCAAGGCTCCACTTCCATCCTGGGGCTTTCCCAGCAGGTTAATATGCAGACACACTGCTTTTGGAGCTCTGAGTGACCTGTGTCAGGATCTAGAGGAGTGGAGAGAAGCCTGTCATGTGACCTCAGCAAAACTGGCATCCTAAGTATTATTTTTAATGCAGCGTAAAATATGTCACTGGATGCAGTGGTTTGAAATAACACTAAAAAAATAGCCTCAGGATTTGATACAAGCTGTCCAAATACTGCATTCACTGTAGACACACTGCACACATTACATGAAGTAATACAATTACTTTACAGCAGCAGGAACAATACTTTACTCACACATAGGTCATGATGCCTGGTGTGGGACATCCCTCCATCACCTCCTCTTTTCTTCATACTGCCCCAGCTACCTACAAGCCCTGTCCAGCCAGGTGCAGTGACACTGACAGCAGGATGTGGCCCATCCCAAGTGCCTGGCTCTAGCTACTCTTTCTGCACACTCCTGCTCTGCCTCCTGCTTTGAGCACAGGAGAGGTGATGCAGGCAGGCTTCGTGCAAACAGGGATGCTGCTTGGTGGCTGAGCATGCAATGCCCCTGTGGAACACAGGGCAACATGAGATGCTTCCTGTGACCGCTCAAAGGTGCTGGCTCAGTGACACAAAAACATTCAGCAAGGGAAAAAACCAGGCTGACGCTGCAGCTGCTGATCTACCGGCCCAGGCAGGTCTGGGCAAACAGCGCAGTGCTTGTGGCCAGGTGGGTGGCTCCATGGCTCCTCTTCAGCGTGGAGGCGTGGGAGAAGGGAACCCCAGGAAGGGATCTCACAGCTCAGCATCCTCGGCCGAGGCCAGGTCCACAGACCTGCTGCAAAAGTGTGGGCAAGTGAACAGCTCCAGGTGGGCGACTGCCCAGGAACAGAAAGCAGGTGCTCTGCCCGTCACTCATGTACAGCCCAGCACTGCCCAACCCTCCATGTGCCTTCTCCTTTGCTGTTCCTGCTTGTGAACTATCAGCCCTATGAGGAAAGCTCTTGTGGTGCGCTCTCTGGTGGGTTTGCTGGAACAGGAATGATTCACATCCCAGCCAAGTTCACAGAGCTGAGGAACATCAGATTTCCCAAGGCACCAAAAGAACGGTGGACACCTCACAGAACCAACACAGCCAGGAGATAGCAGGGCACTGTGAGTCAAAACCAGCACCATGGAGCGGCCTGCCTGGGCAGGGGACATGGAAGGCAGGGAGAAAAAGCCTGAGCCTGAGCTCCCATAACTTCAGTTCATCATCAAATAGCAAAGAACTGCTCTTTGATGGACAAAGGCAAAGCAGCATCATCTTGTTCCTCCTATACCTGTGGCTGCTGGCAGGAATTGGTGCCCCGCTACCAGACAGGAGCCACCCCTGTCTGGGCAGCCAGTGTGCTCTCTGTGTAACCAGCAAAGCTCACCAACAAGGAAGAGGCTAAAAACATAAATGATGAAAAAAAATGAAGAAGTGGGGCTTGAAAGGGGCAGCAGGGTTACAGCTCAGCCGGGGAGTGTCCTGCTCCTCCCAGCAGCCCGGGAAGAAAAGAGGCCAGCCTTCGCTAAAGGCAGCCGGTGCTTCCCGGAATGCTCCGTGCCTGTTTCCTGGCTGCCTAACGAGGCTTTAAAGTGTAAATAGAGGCATTGTTACGTAGGGCTGCCTCGATGGGGTGTAGGCGCCCTGATAGCGGGGAAGAAATACATCTTCCGAGGCCAGTACCACTGGCATGAGGGTGTTATCTGGGACTGGGTGCAGGGCAGCTCTCAAATAATTCACGTGGTTTTGCCCAGTGACAGTGCCTGGTGTCTAGGAAGTTGGCAGGGCTGGGAGGCAAACACAAAGTACTCAGAGTGACTGGGACAGGCAGAGGCACATGGAGCAGACCATTGTCTGCCCCCACAAGCCTGCCTTCACCTCTTCTTTCTCCTTTTCTTTGGAATAGAGGGGATTCGGAGAGGCCAGTTGCAAGCCCTGATGCTGTTGTTAAGCCCACAGGAGCCCAGGTGGAACCCACCAAGACACAACCTGAGACATTATCAGTGGCAATATCAATTTGCAGAAAGCCCGTTTGCTTTAAAGATGCACAACTGGTGAAGCAGAAGCTCCCATGAGACTGGGCTCTCCAGGGAAGACGAGGTACAACTTTTGGAGGAGACCATGTGCCACGGACTCAGTGACATCCAGAGGCTGACCCCAACCAGGACACTGCCTGGTCCTGGTCCTGACCTGTCAGAAGGCAAAACCTGCATCACCACTGCATGCAATCCAGCTGCATGCAGGGATTTACTCTCTCACTTTTCCCAAGCTGCACAGAGCTCATGTGGACCACAAGCTGCCTCCCTGCCCACACCACACCACGTGCATGGCGTCCCAGCCCCAGGTCACATCCTGCAATATTAGTGCAAAAGTCCTCCACATTAGCACACAAAGCATCTGAACCCAAGGGTGCTCTTCTCTGCAGATTGGGTCACAAGTTTAGGGGGACAGCCAGAGACGGGATAATTACCTGCAGCTAATTATTACAAAGTGACAATCTTGATGTAGGATGCAAAGCAGTGCCATCTGAAAGCATCGGGTGAGGAGAACCTGGCTGGGATGTGGATTTGCAGGTCAGGGCTCAGCGTAATCCCCACAGGCCCAGCTCTGCCAGGGTCCAGGGTCTCCCAGGAAGGCATCCTCTGGAGCTGGACATTCAGCTGGGGCCCCAGGGAACTGCACTGCCCTGCAGTACCTAGGGACAGCAGGAGTCTCCCCTTTCCCATTTTCTTCCTTAGATGATTCAGACATGTAGATGGGGAATTCTTCAGGAGGAAAAAAGGGAGAAAAGCACACCCTGCCAATTGCAAAACAGCCAGAAAATTGAATCACGTCCGCGGCTGCAAGCCCCAGATGCAATCCCACAGATAACCCAGTTTCAGCTCCACTACTATCAACTTACCATGAGGCAGTCATTTCCTGCAACTCTCAGGGAAATATCCCACTGTCCCTAATTACTCCTTTCAGTTCACTGTCTCAAAGATGATCCATAATCAAACGCTGTCGCTTTCAGCCTCAGAAATGCACCTTTCAAATTTTCAGACACTTTCCCTCTCTCCCAAACCCATTCACCCTGGAGCCCTGCCACCCTGCAGCGACTAGGCTCACATCCCTCCTGCAGCACACATCCGTGCAGCACTGGCAAACAAATGAACAATGTCGTGTGGGAACCATGGGGCTGGGAAAAAAACCCTGTCAGCTTACCTAGAATAAAAGCCTCCTGACAAACTAGGATTTTCATCATCAAAGGTTTTCTAGGCTTTGTGGCAACACAGAAAAATTCAGTTACAGCTAACCATACCGATGGCCCTGCAGAGCATGAAGCCAACATCCCTGCTCACAGACGCTTGCCTGCCACGCACATGGTGGCACAAAACTACACAGCTCTGCATGGTATTGTGGGCTTGTTGCTCAGGGCAGCCCTCCATAGGGACAAAACCCGCCTGGGAGAGTCGGAGCCGAGAGCCACAGTGCAGGGAAGCGACAGCAGGAGGCTGAGGTCTGTCCTTACACTGAGAGGAGGGGAGGCACAGCGGACCCCAGCCCCGGGCGCAGGAGGCTGTCAGCCCCACGTGGCGCATGGAGATTCGCCATCCCGGGATGCAACGCTCCCCTCGCTCCCGCCGCTGCCGGGCACGCCGGGACGCGTAGTCTCCAGAGAGGCGGCCCCGCCGCCGGCCGCCGTGCTTGCTCCATGTTGCCTCCTAGGTGGAGCCCCGCAGCCCTGGCAGCCGGCCAGCCGCCCGCTCCGGAGGGGGGATAAAAGCTGGATAACTCCCGCGGCGAGGATCCAGCTGGCCTCGCTGGGGCAGCGTGCGCCCGGGGGGAAAGCATGAGGCTGGCGTGCAGCGCCTGCCACAGGGACCGGACTGCCCGTGGAGAGGAGGGACAGTGCGAGCAAGGCGGGAACCTACTCAGTGCAGCTTACAAAGCACCTCCATTGCTTCTTCGAGCTGCCAGGGCAAGGCTCTGCCCTCCTGCTCAAGCAGAACTTCTCTCTTCTCAGTACTTGGTTGAAAGGCAATATGGAAGTGGCTGAACGAGGGACATGCAGGCTGCCGGCAGCACTGGGGACAGAGCAAATGCAGTGGTTGTTGGACTCGCACCTCTGCACGGGCAGCACATGCTGCCACTGGTGCCAGCCCTTTGGACAACCAGTGCAGGATGGGGCCAAAACTACAGGAAGCAAAAGGACATGGTACGGTCAAGCACACCTGCCTAGTGCTCCTGAAGGCATGAGGAACCCAGCCCCAGGGAAACCCTTTTACCCCAGCATCCCTGGTAACAACTCCACACGACAACAGCAACCCACGGGGCAGCAAACCTCATGCGGCAAGCGTGACAACCCACAAACACACACACAGAGCAAACAACAGCAGGAGCACCCTGTCCCCCAGATCACTCAGAGAATGGGAGGTTTCCAAGAGAGAGGGCCAGGAGAAGTGCTATCCTGTTCTGCCACCACCACATAGGACCTCAGGTTTGTATTGTTAATGCAGATGTCAAATCACGCCAGTGCAGAGCTGCAAACACATGAAAGAGGGCACACCGAGAGAGACCACTCTGGGCCAAGGACTACTGCCACCCTGCCAGCCATGGAACAGGAACAGAGTCCTGGGGCTGGACTGGTCCATATCCTCTGCTCCCACGTCCTGAGGAGCTGGGCAAGCTCAGGCCCTCCAGCTATTGCTGCTCTCTGAAAAGAAGCTGAAAGTGGCTCCAGGTCCCCAGCCTAGGGCACCTTTGCTTCAACTAAACTTCTGTGGCTTTTCACTGTCCTTTTCCTATTTTACATGGATTGTGACCTGCTCCTGGTGAGAGGAAAAGTCACCAAACATCAGCAAAACCTTTGTGTCACCAAACCTTCCAGCACCAGCCTATTCCCCTTAGATCACAAGTTTTCCACTTTGAGGCAACACAACTTTATGTCGTTCTGCTCAGCACTACTCAGTCTTTAAGCCATGCTCAGATCGCTGGGATTTGTACAGCATCAGGAGTGGAAAAACCATATTCAGTTCTATTTCAGTGAAAACCCTAATTCCCCCACAATGAGAACTCTCCAAAACCTAAGGCTTTAAAGGAACAAGGACACTGATATTTACCCACACTTGCAACAGTAGCAGTAAGAACCAATAGATACCTGACCAGCACTGGAGGAGTCGCTGCAAACCTGCTCAGACAAGGTGCTATGGAAAGTACGTGGAGAACAACTGGGAAGACCCTGGGACAGGGTGCTTGTTCTCACACCTGCCTGGCCCAGCCTCGAGCAGGCTCAGACCCTCCTGGTGAGAAGAAAGCAGGTGATGGTTTGCAGTGTGGGGTAAGTGCACACTGTGTGCCCCCAGAAGGTGACTCCCTGTTAACCCCACAGCCTTGGAACCCTTTGCTCACACCTCACCCTGAGAGTGGCTGACACCTCCGGTTTTGGCTCCTGCTGCGGCACTGGCTTTGGCAAGGGATGGCAGTGGCTCAGCAGGTTCCTGCCAGCTGAGGCTGCTGGGATGGGATTGGGGGCTGCCCAAGCCAAGGGAGCCCCAGTAGTGCTTATCACCCATCCCGAGCAGGCGGGCTGGCAGGGACTAGTAGTCCAGACACCCGAGATCAGGGCAGTCTACCACAGCAGGCTCTACCAAAGGGGCTCCAGGAAAACACCCGCCAAGGTAAGACACCCCTCCACAGCTCTGGCACTCATGCTGACTCCTAAATTGGAGCTGCTGGGTCTTCCCCACTCCTGAGGATGCTGTGCTCACCCTCAGCTTGGTCTCCACTTCTGGCTGCCCCAGGTCAAGCCAGTGCTTTATCTGCCAGGGAGAATGAGCCCCCTATGCCCATGGCCCCCTGTGTTTGGTCACCCAGCAAGGCAGCTTTTGAAAGATGTGCAGCCCTCATGTGTTTGCACCCCTTGGATCTTTTATTCCCTTTGCACCCGTGGGAAGCTGGTGGGACCCTCTGAGCTGTAAGCAAGGATGAAGTTGCAGCAAGCAGTGAGGTGCAGCAGGTGAGCAGCCCCAAGAACCGGGCACTGGCCCCATAAACCCGGTGACAGCACAGGCAGGGGGACCAGGAGGGTGTGGGGCAGCTGTCAAGGGGCTTCGGCAGGGAAAAGAACCCGGAGAAGAACAAAGGGAGCTACGGACTGGGATGGAGCAGGGCACAGAAGGGCATAGGGGCTGCTGGCAGCACCCCACCAGGCTGGGGGTGACTCTCCAAAAGCCAATAGATGGTGGAAAGAAAGGGGAGCCAGGGGAAGGGAGGAACACCATAGGCAGGGAGGGAGAGGACAGACAAGAGAGCTGGAGGGGAGGGAACGAGCTGAGGGGCCAAGGATGCACTGAGCTGCTGGGGAGGGATGAGGGACAGGAGAACTGGGTAAGGATGGAGAGGGAAGCCGAGGAGGGAGAGGGGAGCTGGGGACAGGGAGAGCCGTGCCGGGGGAACAGAGAGCGGGTAGGGGGCTGCCGCGGGGACCCCGGGCCGTACGAGGCCCCGGTGGGGAGCGGCGGCGCGGTGCGGCCGCGCACAACTTCGCAGACGCGGGGGCGGCGCAGGCGGGACCCCGGCCCTCACCTCCGCCGCCCGAGCGGGGCCGCCACCGGGGCGGGGGGGACCGGGAAACTTGCGCGGGGGGGAAGGGGGCGCGGGGGGGCGGGGTGACTCACGGCGCGGCGGCGGGCGGGGGTCCGGCGGCGGCGCGGCGGCGGCGGGCGGGCGGCGCGGGGCCGCCGCGGGGCGGGGCGGGCGGGGCGCGGGGCGGGGCGGGGGCGCTTCCTTTGTCTGCGCCGCGGCCGGGACCACAATGGCTGCGGCGGCGGCGGCGGCGGCGGGGCCCGCTCCCCCCGCACCGGCTCCCCCGCCCCGCGCCGCCCGGGGGCCCACGGGCCCGGGCTGACGCCCGAAAGGGGGTCCCCGCAGAGCTGCCCCCCGGCCCCGCGCCGGTACAGGCACTCCCCGGGATGGGGATGAGGGAGCAGTGTCCCGCCGAGGAGCTCGGCACCGGCAAGGGCAAGGATTCCTTCCCTACTGCGAAAGTTTGAATAAAAATAGACCTTTTCCCGAGCTTCGTTTTGGGGTGTCTGAAGTTTTTTCAGGATTTTTTGGTTTTCTTTTTGAAACTTGTTTCCCTTTCCCCCAGTTTCGGACGAGAAAAGAAAAATACAAGCAGTTTGTTTGGGAGGGTGGGATGAGAAACAAAATGTTCCAATTTGCAATTGCCATCATACTCCCAGAGTCTCCTTTCCTTGATAAAACTGCAACCTCTTCCAGTTAGAAAATTTTACAAAAAACTCCATTATGAAAATTTCCGTTATAAAAAAATTTCCAAGTTTCTCATTCCCCTTCTGCCCCATATCTGCCTCTTGCAGCTTCTGCTCCTGCCCTGGCAAGTCAGCCTGGCACAGACCTCTGCTGCCAGCCCAGCCGGCAAGCCCATGGCCTCAACACACACACACACACACACACACACACACGTGTGCTGCTACAGCTCACCCTACACACAAGGGCTGGTGTTCACGCCGCCGATGGGCTGGCGTGCACTTGCATGCCTTCCCAAAGGCCTCCCGGCACAGCCCCGGCTGGGTGTGCACCCATGCCTGGGGCACGCACACCCTCCCACATCGCCCTGCTTGCAGGGCCAGGCGCACACCTAATCCCCTCCCCAAGCCTTGGGGTAATGCAGGTACAACCAGTTGGATCCTGCCAAGCACACTTGCTTCCCCGCATCCCCCCTCCACCCAACAGAGCAGACATGGCGGGTTTAAAACCTCATCCACGAGTTCTTGGGGATTTCCTCCCCTCTGTGCATTTGTACCCCCAAAGCCCTGCACTTGAAGACTGGGGGCAGCCCTCTGCTCCCCAGGCATGTTGCTGTCTCAGACCAGTACTGAAGAGTAAGAGGCAGCATCCTCTTACTCCTGTCCCTCACACTCATCAGCTGAGCAAGGCTCCAACCCTGTCCTGCTCCACATTGCACCATCATAATTTCCCCTTCCTCTTGCAGACCACCCTGAAGTATCATTTTCCACAGCCACATAGCTAAATATACCAAAATTCTTTGTAAACCCTAGATTTACAGAGAGAAAAACTCACTGTAAACCTAAAAACCTCTGTGACATCCTCCTCTGTGAAAGGCACATGCAGCTGGAGGTACCCATGCCTTGATAACTGGGCACAGGGATGCTGCGAGTGCCCCAGCATGATGGCCCTTTACTGCCTTGTCCTCCTGCCAGCCCAAATCTTGTGGCACTGGGTGAGATGGAGGTGCAGTATGCTGACCCCCACCATCATTAGGCCAAAAAAAGTGCTGGCTGCAATGCTGGTGACAGCTACAGGGTGGCACAGCCCTCCTGGCCAAGACTGCCATTAAACACAGTCCACCTGCACCCCATTCCCACTCCAAGGCACAAAGACACACATGGCACAACCACCCACCACACTGCTACTGCAAAATACAGCAAAACTGTGAAAAAAGGGGCATTTTGTCCCCATATTAGAGACTCCTGGCACCAGTGCCATGGCCAGGGGATAAGACAGCAGCCTCCATTCATCCCCAGGCCCCCGTGGCCCGGCCCAGTGCATCCACAGTAAACATGCCTGGAGCAATTTATCCCGGGGCTCAGCAGCCCTCCGGGACTGCTCACGTGTCCCTGCTCAGCTCTGACGACAGCGCTGGACTGGTCCACGTGGCTGCAGCAGCCCCAGCTGTTTATGGTTATAGCCGAGTTAATAATTAAATAGATGCTGGATGGAGAGCAGAAGGGCTGGGATGCAGCTGGGAAGCGTGTGTGGCAGCAACGGTGTGGGGGAGCCCCTTCCTCACAAAGTGCTCATGCCCACACTGTGAGGGGAGCAGAGGGCTACCCAGTTTTTGTGGTAGGGCACTACATCCCCCAGATCACAGCCTCCACTCTCCCCCTAGCAAGGGCCCCATGCCTGCCTGGTCTCCCCAAAGCCCAGCCCTGATCCAACAGCCGGTACAGGTCTGAGCCCAGGAGCTGGCAGCAGCTCAGCAGCAGGAGTGAGCACAGGACACATCCCAGGCAAACGGGTGGGAAGAGCCCGGTGGGGACCAGCATAGCCAGGGGATGTGGAGGTCTCTGATCCCTGTGGCTATGGCTTGGTGTGCCTGCAGAGTGTGCCTGAGGGATCCCAGGCGAGCAGGGCAGGAGGCAGGGCATGCTCACACTGACACCCGGCCGGGGCCCTGGCAAGCGCAGGCGTAGAGCAAGGACGCGGACACGCGCTTACATAAAAAATAATAATAAAAATCTGCTAGCTCTGCAAACAGCACAGCCTGCACTGGGAGATGGACTGGTCTGGCACTTCCAAACCTCACGGACTTGTCCAAACAGCAGCCAGACCTGGGCACCATTGCATGTATGCAGATGCAGCCTGCAGCACAGCATGCATACTGGAGCCCCCCCCTTTCCAGAACACAAGAGCCAATCCCTCAAATCCTACCATCCTTCAAACAGAAATATGCTTTGTTTCCCTGTTTCTCAAGGAGGGGCTTCTCTCCTCCCTAAAGCTATGCATGACCAGATAAAAAGGGAGTTCTGTAGCAGGAGGGGCCCCCATTTTTGGCTAGAGAAGCCACAGATCCATCTCTCCAGAGGAGGTTTGGGGGAGGCTGGAAACTACACTGTGAGTCATGCCAGGCAGGCAGCAGATCCTGGGGGCTCCTGGGATTAACCCTTCAAAACCAGAACCACTTCCAGACACCCAGAGGCAAAAATAAAGCCAAGGGGCTGGGGAAAAGCTGCCAGAGCATGAGAGCAGGATGAGAAGTTACAGGGCCACATCTTGAGCATCCTGCATAGGACAGAGGAATCAATCTGAGTATGTGAGCAGTGGACAAGCAGCAACCAAGTGCATGCACTGGTGCCTGTCCTCTCCAAAACAATAGGATGTGGAGAAAGGTAACAGCGGGGTGCAGAACCCCAGAGTGCATGAGGTTCATATGGGGTGTCCACCCTCACATCACGCCTTGTTCTGGTGTCGTGGGTCAATCTCATGACCACTGGGCTGCCCACAGGCTCCAAGGGGAAGGTGCAGTCCACAAGCAAGCTTTGACACATCCTGCTAGAATGGGGTTTCCCCATGGCACCAGCACCAGAGAAATGCCCCACAGCGTTCCTGTGTTGTCCCTGAGATGTCAAAATGCACATCCTGCAAGACCTCAGCCCCAGGATGACCACCCACAGCAGTGAGCCCCAGTTCCCCTGCAGAAGCCCAGGGTCAGCCTGCCAGAGCTGCAGGGTTTTAAGGCTCCTCCAAAGCCTCCAGGTGGATTCTCTCATGTTACAAGAATGGTTCGTTTTACAGCCCCTTTCCCGGCCTGGGAACCCACAGCAGGGAGGGGGTGACGTGCAGCATGGCTGCACAGCCCCAGCATCCTGTGCCTGACCTCTGTCCCCCAAGAAGACCATCTACCTTCCAAGGGACAGGCATTGCTGCTTCAAAGACAACCAAATCCTCAACACCTAGCCCTGCAACTACAGAAACTCAGCCCTGGTCAGAGAGCACCCTGGTGCCTGGCCCACTGTTCCCCCCGCATTCCCTCCACTCTTGTCTCTCAAGCCACAGAGGACCCTTGGCATCCATAAGAGACTTACATAGCCAGGAGCTGCCACCCACCAAACCCCCACCTACTAAGGCTGCCATCTCTCCTGGTAGCCACATGTCACTGTGCCCTCCCACACTAGAAGCTCCCCTGGGAGAAGGTAAGGGACATCTTACAGGGCCACGGCTGTACATGGTTGACTCGAAGCAGGTAACTCCACCAGCTGAGCCCACCCTCTGCCACCCCCCCACACGGTGCTGCTGAACACTCCGGAGCAGCTCTCCGAATATAGCAGCATCAAATAGCTCCATCAATAATGCATTGCTTCTGCTTCCTCTCACTGCCGTGTTTTTGTTGCTAACATGCGTGTCCTTCCTGTTAGCAGCTGCCTCCTCCCCACCAGCTAGGCCAAGCAGGGACACAGCCACGGTGGGATGGTGATGGCAGCTCCCACAGCTCCAGGTCCAGTTCCTGTAGGGACTGACACAGAGCCCCATCTATGCCACTCGGGGGCAGCCTGGGGCTCTGGGGGGGAACCCTGGCACCGTCCAAGCCTCCTGCTGCGCAGGCGCTGGCAGCAGGCAGGGCGACTCGGCATGCCGTGGCTGCCCGAAGGATTTGGCAGGGGCACCAAGCTGGGAGGAGCATAATGACATCTCCCCAGCCTCAGCAGGGAAATGCCCCTCCACAAGGACTTTTGGCAGCCTGGCACTCTCCATACCCAGGCAGCACCCCCATTCCCACATCAGGTTCCTCCAGCAGCCCCGCGTTGCCATCCCCAGCAGGGAGAGAGCTCCTGCTGCCGTGCTCCTGCCTGCCCCTGCCCGCAGCTGCCCCGGGCTCACCCCGGGCCAGTCGAAGCAGGCAGGTCGGGGTGCCTGGACCTGCCTCGTGCCCAGCAGAGTTGCATGCCTGCAATGCCACGAGTTGCCACGGGCTCCTAGTATGGAGGCAGGAACTGGTGTAGGCAAAAGCTGGCACCCACCATCCTGCAGCTACTCACAGCAGGCAGGGGCAACCTCTGTCCTGTAAGGGAGACCCCCAGGGTGTACAAGACCGTAGCTGGAGGAGAATGCACATATCAGAGCAGAGGCTGGTGCAATTGGCTGCTGTAGAATGTCCCAGCCTGGCTTGGGCTGCAAGAACTATGTACAGCCACCTGGGCTGTACTGCAGAAACCTGGCTGCATACACAACGCCTGTCCCTTGGTGTGCAGTACAGGGCCTGAGGCTGCAGAAAGCAGGGGCCCTCCCACCCCCTGTGTGCCACCCTCTCAACCATGGGTGCATCGTGGGGCACAGGCACTGTCACCTTGGTGCCGGGTAACCTCTGCTACCTGACTGTGAGTTCTACACAGCCGGGGCAGAGAGACACCCTGCAAAAGGGGGGCTGGAGCTACATCCCACAGGGCCCCCCAAAGGAAGTGGCAATAGAGGGGTGCAGGCAGAGTGTTATCAGTGGCCCTGTGGGCAGGGCGGGTCAGGGCTGGACAGAGGCCAGCGCCTGCCACAGCGGAGATTATGTCTCGGGTTTAACGTTCATTCCCATCCATGACCTGCCCAGGAGAGAAGGGGGTGAGCTGCACTGGGAGGCTGGCATGACAGCTTTGGAGACTCCTGAGTTCCACCAGTACCCATGCTCAAAAGGGACATCCAACAACGGTGCACAGCCCACTTTCCCACACCCCCAAGAGCACGCAGCAGTGAACCTCCCAAAACCTGCCAAGCATCACCCCTGCTGCAGCCACCCCAGCTCTGCCCAGCAAAGACCCTGGGAGACGGGCAGACTACTGCCACCATCCCTGCTCCAGGTGGGGCCAGCAGCCCCCTGGCAGCCTTGCCTGCTCCCCAGCACCCTCCCCCCGGCACCAGCAGGAAACCACAGCCGCAGCCTGCGGGCAGCTGATAACGGTCACCCAGCCCCATCCTGCCTGCACCCCACCACCCGAGGAGCTGTCCCCACACCCACTGCTGCCCAGGCCCTGGGGTGCACCCACACGTGCACAACGGCAGCCCCAGGGCTCAGTGTCCCCCTGCACAGAGCTGGGGGCTCTCACTGACAGTGCAGCTGGGGCACCAGGACACACCAACAGTGGTTGTGCATGGGCACCATGCTCCCACACCACGCAGTTCCACGCCTGGCATGTTCTAGTAACACGGATATGGCGGGAGAATCTCAGAGCAGAGTGGGGGAGGAGAGGGTGGCATGAAATCGAGTGATCTGACACAAAGGGATAGGCAAGGGACAATTGAGCTGCTTCGGCTCCTGCCCTGCCTGGGGGCACACAGTGCATTCCTGGCCACAAGGGTACCTCCCTGCACTGGAGGTCCCATCCCCCAGGGGCATGCCCTCACTCCCCAGGGAACAGCTTTCACAGCAGTTTGTGTCGAGCAGGTAACAACATTCCTGGAATAAACTTGGGGCCCAGTGCAAATACACAGTGCTGAAGCCGCTGGCATTGGTGTGGCACTAGCCCATGTAGGATTCTCCAGGCAAATCCTGGGTGAGCTCACACTGGCTCCAAGGAGCACTGTGATGGTGCATCACACCAACAACAAGACCCCTGAGGAATCCCCTCACTGAGCATCACACAGCCACAACCCATCACGACTTTGCCACAGCATGCCAGAAGTGGGCAGCCAACGCAGCACACAGGGTATCCTAGTGTCAGGCACTTCGCTGCTGAGGGGCACAGGGCAAGTAACATGTTTAATCCAAACATCACTGGTAACATGAAGAAAGCCTGGACTAGAGCACATCAATATGCACAATGAGGCCTCGGGACCCCTACTGCTCCCCTCCTCCCCAACAGGCCCAGGGGCACCCCAAGGTGCCAGGCACCCCGGGGGTGTTTGGGAGCCAGAGCCCACACAGGTCAGGGCTGCGTGGCCCCCCCGCCGCAGCACTCAGCCCGCTCGCTGCCATCCTTTCCCAGCGCATCTGTCGCAGAAGGCATGTGGCACAGCTCGGCCTCGTGACAGTGGGGGATGCACGGCGCCAGCTCGGCAGAAGGGAGGGATACGGCAATGGGCCGTGCCCTGGCTGGACATGTCCATCCCGGGACCCAAAGCATGTGGCTTGGGAAGCTCTCCCTCCTGCCAGAGGGGTGCACAAGCTAGTTCTCTGCAAGGTGTCCCAGGGAAGGTGCTGACCTTGGGAAAGTTGCTTCCCTGCCATGAAGCTGGAGCCAGACCCGCAGGGAGGGAGAACAGCTCCACTCTGCTTTGCTCCCCTCCTCCCCCTCTGCACTGACACCATCACTACAGGGGGAAAAACAATGATAATAATAAAAATAATTAAGGAAGAAAGTGCAGAGCATGCTGGGAGAGTGAGAGGTGCCCCCAGGGGTCAGGGCCCTGCTGGGGTCTGGATGCCAAGACCTGTCTGCCGGCCCTGCTCCAAGCAGCCCTGGGCACAGCACCACCGGCACCAGCACCAGACAGCTGCTGCCCCAGCCACTGCCACCTCCTCTCTGAGCCCATTACACTCTTGCTGCTCACCTCTCCATATCTGAGGTGGGGGTAAAACCTTCCTCAGGCCCCCACTAGCCCCAGCAGCTCCTCACCATCCTCGGGCACAAGAGTGCATCAAGCTCCCAGCTGAGCAGCCTCCCTGTTCCAAAGCTCTCAGAAGAAAGGAGCAGGGAAACATCTCTGGAGAGGTGCAAGAAGACCTGCAGTGGGACAGGATGCACCCCCAGGGATGGCAAGGGGTACATCTTTCCTCTGGGAGGGCACAACTTGGAAGGGGAGCAGCCAAAACCTCCTCGGCAGCAGCTCCCAAGCAGGAAACTCCTCCAAGTTAATGCAGCCCTGAAGAGCAGCCTGGGCAGAGCGGCTCATTAAATGTTTCTGGCTGGCGGGAGGCCAGCGGCAGAGCTTGTTTTTTCTATATTCCGATAAACAGTCCGGGGAGGGGAAGGGGGAGGGGGCGCAGGCTCTCGATGTGCCACCCAGCCCCAGCGGGGGAGCGGAGGAAGATGCGGGGGGCACACGCACATTGCACGGCAACACTGCACAGCAGCTTCGTGTCCTCCCTGCCCTGGGGCAACAGGCAGGGGCGGCGTGGGGGGGGACACAACACATGAAGCCATCCACAGGGATACTCCCAGCTGAGGGGTGACCCCACAGCTCCCCATCCCTGCACCGAGGGAGGACCCCCCTCTTTGCACCCACCAACATGCCGATGACATTCCCAGTGGCGTGCGGCCAGCTCCCGGGGAATAGGATGGGGCCCCAGCGCTGGGTCACACGGCCTTCGCCCCAGCGAGGCGGGACCCCCGCCAAGGCTGGGGGTTCGGGAGGGGTGCGGTGCCCTCGGTGCGGGGTGCCTGCGGGGCGGGTGCTGTGGCTGCTCGGCCTGGCTCGCAGGGAGGTTCACGTGACTTTCTGCTTGAGGAAGCAGCGCTCTGGCAGCTTCCAGTGGGAGATGGAGGAGGAGGAGGAGGAGGAGGAGGATGGGGGAAGGGGCCGCCTGCCTTCATAGAAACACGGCGGCGAGGCGCAGGCAGCGCAGGGGCCGGGGGCCGCCTTGCAGGGGCACCCCTTCCCCACCCCGCTTATACAGCTGCAAATCCCTCGGCAGAGGCGGCTCCGGGGGAGGCACAGGGACCGTGTGCTGTCACAGCGCCCCACTGCCTCCAGCAGCCCCCCAGCACGGGGTTCTGGCCTGGCAGGAGGCTCTCTCGGGACCACAGCGATGCTGCCACGGGAACTGGGCTGAGGAGCGTCCCTGCTGTCCCCCCACAGGGACCCCATGTGACAGATGCCCAGGGAAATGGCAAAACCCTCTCCCCAGGGCCCCCCAAACTTGGCTCCCATCTGCTGGCCAGCACCACGGGGAGCTGCTGCTGGACAAGGTTCCAGCAGCCCTCTGAGACCCCTGCCCTGCCTTGCTTCTGGCACGGCAACATTCTGCACGCGGCAGCAAGCAATGCAGCCAGACCAGCTGCCCCAAACCTGCCCCCAAGCCCAGGCGTGCAGACAAGTATCCCTGCGGCAGCACCCTCCCAGGTGCTGAGACCTCACCAACTCATCACACCGCCTATGTAGTCCTGCCACCTTGCTAGCCCGCAGGATCCAGAATTAGGAACAAGCTCTCCAGCAGACACCCCACAATGGCCATGGCGGGAGGCCATACAGCATCCATTGCCAAGCCTCTGCAGGGACACTGTGCCTCACACCCACACGGGGAGCTGTAGCACCCCACAGACCTATTGCTCTGGCCACAGAGGCACTTCGGAGACACTCTTGACAGTGCCACCTGCATGCCTGCCCAATGCCCCTGCAGCACTCTGCCTGTGGGGGTCCCAGTTCCAGGCTGGTACCAGCACCCATGTGCTCTTGAGTCCCAGATCTCTTTGTCCAACACATCTCAGCATCCATGCCATAGGAATTCCAGCACCCATGCCGTGGAGTCCTAGCCTCACAACCACATCCCAGCACCCATGCAATGGGGTTCCAATCCCACAGTCAGACCCAAGCATCCATGCTCTAGGAACTCCAGCCCTTCAGCTGGATTCCAACAGTCCATACCATGGAGACCTCACACCCATGGTTGGACCCAATAGCCACACCACAGTGACTAGGACTCCAGTCCCCACACCTTGCTGACACCCATAGCTTATCCCCAGCACCAGCACCATGCCCAAACCTCAGCAGCTACACTGAAAGCCACCTGTGTTGTATTCAGCTCCCAGCAGCCATGCCCCAGGAACCCAGCCCCATAACCAAACCCCAGCACCAGTACCACCGAGACTCCGGCACCAATGCCAGATGCCAGCATCAATGCCATGGAGACCCCAGCACCAACACCGTGAAGACTTCAGCCCCATAGCCAGATCCCAGCACCAATGCCATGCAGTCTCAGAGACCAATATCCTGGAGAACCGATCCCCATAGCTGGACTCCACCACCAATGCCTTAAGAGACCCCATCATTAATGCCACGGAGACACCAAGGCCATGGAGACCCCAACACCAATGCCACGGAGACCCCAGTCCCGTAGCTGGAGATCTCAGCCCCAAAGCAGGACAGCAACACCAATGCAATGAGGACCCCGGCCCCACAGCCGGACCCCGACACCAGTGGTGCCCCCACCCCGTAGGTGGCCCCCAGCTCCCCACCCAGCCCCGATGCCGCGGGGACCCCAGCCCAAGGGGCAGCCCCCGCCCCGCACCACTCACCAGGGCATGCACAGCCCACTGACATCTTCACATGCCTGGCCCGGCCGGGGGTCGCTGCGCGCTGCCCGGGCCACGGGGGTCTCGCATGGGCGGCGCGCCGGGGGCTCCGGCGCGGCGGGCGGCGGGTAGCGCCGCGGCCAGCGGCGGGCGGGCGGGCGCGCCGCGAACCGGCGGAGCGGCGGCGGCAGCAGCAGCGGCAGCGGCGGCGGCGGCGGCGGCGGGGGCGCTCGGGGCGCTCGGGGCGGGGGCCGCGGCGGTGGAGCGGGAGCGGGGGCGGGGGCGGCTGCGCCGGCGGCGGGCGGGTGGGGGCGCCTCTGCGCGTGCGCGGGGCGTCCCGTTCCCCCCCGCCGCGAGCGCGTGCGTGCTGCGTGCGTGCGCGCTCCCCCCCGCCCCCCCCCCCCGGTTCGCCGCAGCTGCCGCCGCCGCGCTCGCACGCGCGCGCGCCCCCCCCCCCCGGTTCCCCCTCCCCGTGAGGGGCGCGGGGATCCCGGTGTGAGACGGGGCAGTCCGCGAGGGACGGCGTGAGGGGAAGGACGAAGCGTCCCCCCTCCGCTCTGAGGAGGCTCTCGGCCCTGCCCCCTGGGCTTTGCAGCCCAGCAGCTGCAGGGGCAGCGCTCTCCCCACACCCCCGTGGTGGGTGAGGGTTCTCAGGGCTGCGGGGGTTCCCGGGG